GTCATTGTTAAATAGATATAAGAATATGTGGTATGAGTGCCAATGAGGCAAAACTCTATCCAAGTCATAATTTGAAAAAAATAATGATTAAAGACTAAAATTGAGAATGGAAATGGGGAATGTGTCAAATAGACAACAACTCGAACATAGAGCAGACAACAGCTGAAAGCCCCTTATGGGTCTTGAATGCAGCTAGAAACTCCCGCACCCTAATGCGTCCTTCAGCTGGCCCCTAAACATATATACTAGTTCAGTGATAATGGACATCATACTAAACTAATTATACACAAGAAACTACAATTGAAAATCATATAAGAGTAACAAAGGCCAGAGGCTCCTGACTTGGGACAGGCACAAAATTGTGGCGGGGTTAAACATGTTTTTTTGAGATCTCAACTCTCCCCTTATACCTCTAGCCAATGTAGAAAAAAAAAATCGCACAAAAATACGCACAGTGAAACTCAGTTTAAGAGTTGTCTGAGTTCGATGTCAGAATATGAAACAAAAGAAAATAAACATAACAACAGACTACTAGCAGTTACTGACATGCCAGCTCCAGACCTCAACTTTTTACATTTTCATATCTTTCTGGTTTTACTTTATAGTTGAGTTGCTGTCACACTGTGTTTACCGGAATGCCACATGTTCTTCAATCCTTAAGAAAACCATCAAGAATTTCAAAACTAGATATATTTTACAGAGAAGTTATTTCACTTCTTAACACAGGCAACTTGGAATCAAGGTTTTTGATATTATTTCACTTCCTACCACAGGCAACTTGGAATCAAGGTTTTTGTTATTATTTCAGTTGTAACATTTAAAAATTATTTTCAGTGACTGACATGAAAAACATGACAACGTTATGTATCAGTTAGCATTGGATACTTGTGTATACGTATGACGAAGTTAAGCCGCGCTCTGTGTTTGGGGTTCACAGATACTATACCTCCCTTTTAGGTATAGGAACGTCCCCCGTATACGTATCAAGTATCCATTCTTACTGGTACGTTAAACTGAGAGTGAGGTGGCTCGGTTTGACTGATGTGCGATGGCTCGGTCAAAATTTTTTTTGCACCAACTGAGAGTGAGGTGGCTCAGTCTGCATGTGAAGCTCTGTAACATGCTTTTAATTGTAAAAAGTATTTTATTTGTTTTTATCCATATTTTACTGTTTTTATCCAAATTTTAATTGGGGATATTTTATTGTTTTTACTGGAACAAACTGAGAGTGAGGTGGCTCAGCCTGCATGTGAAGCTCTGTAACATGCTTTTAATTGTAAAAAGTATTTTATTTGTTTTTATCAAAATTTTAATTGGGGATATTTTACTGTTTTTATTCCAAATTTTAATTGGGGATATTTTTATTGTTTTTACTAGAACAAACTGAGAGTGAGGTGGCTCAGTCTGCATGTGAAGCTCTGTAACATGCTTTTAATTGTAAAGTATTTTATTTGTTTTTATCCAAATTTTAATTGGGGATATTTTACTGTTTTTATCCAAATTTTAATTGGGGATATTTTATTGTTTTTACTAGAACAAACTGAGCGTGAGGTGGCTCAGTCTGCATGTGAAGCTCTGTAACATGCTTTTAAGGGGAAAAAAATATTTTATTTGTTTTTATCCAAATTTTAATTGGGGATATTTTACTGTTTTTATCCAAATTTTAATTGGGGATATTTTACTGTTTTTATCCAAATTTTAATTGGGGATATTTTATTGTTTTTACTAGAACAAACTGAGCGTGAGGTGGCTCAGTCTGCATGTGAAGCTCTGTAACATGCTTTTAAGGGGAAAAAGTATTTTATTTGTTTTTATCCAAATTTTAATTGGGGATATTTTACTGTTTTTATCCAAATTTTAATTGGGGATATTTTACTGTTTTTATCCAAATTTTAATTGGGGATATTTTATTGTTTTTACTAGAACAAACTGAGCGTGAGGTGGCTCAGTCTGCATGTGAAGCTCTGTAACATGCTTTTAAGGGGAAAAAAGTATTTTATTTGTTTTTATCCAAATTTTAATTGGGGATATTTTACTGTTTTTATCCAAATTTTAATTGGGGATATTTTACTGTTTTTATCCAAATTTTGATTGGGGATATTTTTATTGTTTTTACTAGAACAAACTGAGAGTGAGGTGGCTCAGTCTGCATGTGAAGCTCTGTAACATGCTTTTAATTGTAAAGTATTTTATTTGTTTTTATCCAAATTTTAATTGGGGATATTTTATTGTTTTTACTAGAACAAACTGAGCGTGAGGTGGCTCAGTCTGCATGTGAAGCTCTGTAACATGCTTTTAAGGGGAAAAAAGTATTTTATTTGTTTTTATTCAAATTTTAATTGGGGATATTTTACTGTTTTTATCCAAATTTTAATTGGGGATATTTTACTGTTTTTATCCAAATTTTAATTGGGGATATTTTATTGTTTTTACTAGAACAAACTGAGCGTGAGGTGGCTCAGTCTGCATGTGAAGCTCTGTAACATGCTTTTAAGGGGAAAAAAGTATTTTATTTGTTTTTATCCAAATTTTTATTGGGGATATTTTACTGTTTTTATCCAAATTTTAATTGGGGATATTTTATTGTTTTTACTGGAACAAACTGAGAGTGAGGTGGCTCAGTCTGCATGTGAAGCTCTGTAACATGCTTTTAAGAGGAAAAAGTATTTTATTTGTTTTTATCCAAATTTTAATTGGGGATATTTTACTGTTTTTATCCAAATTTTATTTGGGGATATTTTACTGTTTTTATCCAAATTTTAATTGGAGATATTTTATTGTTTTTACTAGAACAAACTGAGCGTGAGGTGGCTCAGTCTGCATGTGAAGCTCTGTAACATGCTTTTAAGGGGAAAAAAGTATTTTATTTGTTTTTATCCAAATTTTAATTGGGGATATTTTACTGTTTTTATCCAAATTTTAATTGGGGATATTTTACTGTTTTTATCCAAATTTTAATTGGGGATATTTTACTGTTTTTATCCAAATTTTAATTGGGGATATTTTACTGTTTTTATCCAAATTTTAATTGGGGATATTTTTATTGTTTTTACTAGAACAAACTGAGAGTGAGGTGGCTCAGTCTGCATGTGAAGCTCTGTAACATGCTTTTAATTGTAAAGTATTTTATTTGTTTTTATCCAAATTTTAATTGGGGATATTTTACTGTTTTTATCCAAATTTTAATTGGGGATATTTTATTGTTTTTACTAGAACAAACTGAGCGTGAGGTGGCTCAGTCTGCATGTGAAGCTCTGTAACATGCTTTTAAGGGGAAAAAAGTATTTTATATGTTTTTATCCAAATTTTAATTGGGGATATTTTACTGTTTTTATCCAAATTTTAATTGGGGATATTTTATTGTTTTTATTTGTTTTTATCCAAATTTTAATTGGGGATATTTTACTGTTTTTATCCAAATTTTAATTGGGGATATTTTACTGTTTTTATCCAAATTTTAATTGGGGATATTTTATTGTTTTTACTAGAACAAACTGAGAGTGAGGTGGCTCAGCCTGCATGTGAAGCTCTGTAACATGCTTTTAAGGGGAAAAAAGTATTTTATTTGTTTTTATCCAAATTTTTATTGGGGATATTTTACTGTTTTTATCCAAATTTTAATTGGGGATATTTTACTGTTTTTATCCAAATTTTAATTGGGGATATTTTACTGTTTTTATCCAAATTTTGATTGGGGATATTTTTATTGTTTTTACTAGAACAAACTGAGAGTGAGGTGGCTCAGTCTGCATGTGAAGCTCTGTAACATGCTTTTAATTGTAAAGTATTTTATTTGTTTTTATCCAAATTTTAATTGGGGATATTTTATTGTTTTTACTAGAACAAACTGAGCGTGAGGTGGCTCAGTCTGCATGTGAAGCTCTGTAACATGCTTTTAAGGGGAAAAAAGTATTTTATTTGTTTTTATTCAAATTTTAATTGGGGATATTTTACTGTTTTTATCCAAATTTTAATTGGGGATATTTTACTGTTTTTATCCAAATTTTAATTGGGGATATTTTATTGTTTTTACTAGAACAAACTGAGCGTGAGGTGGCTCAGTCTGCATGTGAAGCTCTGTAACATGCTTTTAAGGGGAAAAAAGTATTTTATTTGTTTTTATCCAAATTTTTATTGGGGATATTTTACTGTTTTTATCCAAATTTTAATTGGGGATATTTTATTGTTTTTACTGGAACAAACTGAGAGTGAGGTGGCTCAGTCTGCATGTGAAGCTCTGTAACATGCTTTTAAGAGGAAAAAGTATTTTATTTGTTTTTATCCAAATTTTAATTGGGGATATTTTACTGTTTTTATCCAAATTTTATTTGGGGATATTTTACTGTTTTTATCCAAATTTTAATTGGAGATATTTTATTGTTTTTACTAGAACAAACTGAGCGTGAGGTGGCTCAGTCTGCATGTGAAGCTCTGTAACATGCTTTTAAGGGGAAAAAAGTATTTTATTTGTTTTTATCCAAATTTTAATTGGGGATATTTTACTGTTTTTATCCAAATTTTAATTGGGGATATTTTACTGTTTTTATCCAAATTTTAATTGGGGATATTTTACTGTTTTTATCCAAATTTTAATTGGGGATATTTTACTGTTTTTATCCAAATTTTAATTGGGGATATTTTTATTGTTTTTACTAGAACAAACTGAGAGTGAGGTGGCTCAGTCTGCATGTGAAGCTCTGTAACATGCTTTTAATTGTAAAGTATTTTATTTGTTTTTATCCAAATTTTAATTGGGGATATTTTACTGTTTTTATCCAAATTTTAATTGGGGATATTTTATTGTTTTTACTAGAACAAACTGAGCGTGAGGTGGCTCAGTCTGCATGTGAAGCTCTGTAACATGCTTTTAAGGGGAAAAAAGTATTTTATATGTTTTTATCCAAATTTTAATTGGGGATATTTTACTGTTTTTATCCAAATTTTAATTGGGGATATTTTATTGTTTTTATTTGTTTTTATCCAAATTTTAATTGGGGATATTTTACTGTTTTTATCCAAATTTTAATTGGGGATATTTTACTGTTTTTATCCAAATTTTAATTGGGGATATTTTATTGTTTTTACTAGAACAAACTGAGAGTGAGGTGGCTCAGCCTGCATGTGAAGCTCTGTAACATGCTTTTAAGGGGAAAAAAGTATTTTATTTGTTTTTATCCAAATTTTTATTGGGGATATTTTACTGTTTTTATCCAAATTTTAATTGGGGATATTTTATTGTTTTTACTGGAACAAACTGAGAGTGAGGTGGCTCAGTCTGCATGTGAAGCTCTGTAACATGCTTTTAATTGTAAAAAGTATTTTATTTGTTTTTATCCAAATTTTAATTGGGGATATTTTACTGTTTTTATCCAAATTTTAATTGGGGATATTTTACTGTTTTTATCCAAATTTTAATTGGGGATATTTTACTGTTTTTATCCAAATTTTAATTGGGGATATTTTACTGTTTTTATCCAAATTTTAATTGGGGATATTTTATTGTTTTTACTAGAACAAACTGAGAGTGAGGTGGCTCAGCCTGCATGTGAAGCTCTGTAACATGCTTTTAATTGTAAAGTATTTTATTTGTTTTTATCCAAATTTTAATTGGGGATATTTTACTGTTTTTATCCAAATTTTAATTGGGGATATTTTACTGTTTTTATCCAAATTTTAATTGGGGATATTTTATTGTTTTTACTGGAACAAACTGAGAGTGAGGTGGCTCAGCCTGCATGTGAAGCTCTGTAACATGCTTTTAAGGGGAAAAAAGTATTTTATTTGTTTTTATCCAAATTTTTATTGGGGATATTTTACTGTTTTTATCCAAATTTTAATTGGGGATATTTTATTGTTTTTACTGGAACAAACTGAGAGTGAGGTGGCTCAGTCTGCATGTGAAGCTCTGTAACATGCTTTTAAGAGGAAAAAGTATTTTATTTGTTTTTATCCAAATTTTAATTGGGGATATTTTACTGTTTTTATCCAAATTTTTATTGGGGACATTTTACTGTTTTTATCCAAATTTTAATTGGGGATATTTTATTGTTTTTACTGGAACAAACTGAGAGTGAGGTGGCTCAGTCTGCATGTGAAGCTCTGTAACATGCTTTTAATTGTAAAAAGTATTTTATTTGTTTTTATCCAAATTTTAATTGGGGATATTTTACTGTTTTTATCCAAATTTTAATTGGGGATATTTTACTGTTTTTATCCAAATTTTAATTGGGGATATTTTATTGTTTTTACTGAAACAAACTGAGAGTGAGGTGGCTCAGCCTGCATGTGAAGCTCTGTAACATGCTTTTAATTGTAAAGTATTTTATTTGTTTTTATCCAAATTTTAATTGGGGATATTTTACTGTTTTTTTCCAAATTTTAATTGGGGATATTTTATTGTTTTTACTGGAACAAACTGAGAGTGAGGTGGCTCAGTCTGCATGTGAAGCTCTGTAACATGCTTTTAATTGTATATTTTATTTGTTTTTATCCAAATTTTAATTGGGGATATTTTACTGTTTTTATCCAAATTTTAATTGGGGATATTTTATAATTTTTACTGGAACAAACTGAGAGTGAGGTGGCTCAGCCTACATGTGAAGCTCTGTAACATACTTTTAAGGGGGAAAAGTATTTTATTTGTTTTTATCCAAATTTTAATTGGGGATATTTTACTGTTTTTATCCAAATTTTAATTGGGGATATTTTACTGTTTTTATCCAAATTTTAATTGGGGATATTTTATTGTTTTTACTAGAACAAACTGAGAGTGAATTGGCTCAGCCTGCATGTGAAGCTCTGTATCATGCTTTTAAGGGGAAAAAAGTATTTTATTTGTTTTTATCCAAATTTTTATTGGGGATATTTTACTGTTTTTATCCAAATTTTAATTGGGGATATTTTATTGTTTTTACTGGAACAAACTGAGAGTGAGGTGGCTCAGTCTGCATGCGAAGCTCTGTAACATGCTTTTAAGAGGAAAAAGTATTTGATTTGTTTTTATCCAAATTTTAATTGGGGATATTTTACTGTTTTTATCCAAATTTTAATTGGGGATATTTTATTGTTTTTACTAGAACAAACTGAGAGTGAGGTGGCTCAGTCTGCATGCGAAGCTCTGTAACATGCTTTTAAGAGGAAAAAGTATTTGATTTGTTTTTATCCAAATTTTAATTGGGGATATTTTACTGTTTTTATCCAAATTTTAATTGGGGATATTTTATTGTTTTTACTAGAACAAACTGAGAGTGAGGTGGCTCAGTCTGCATGTGAAGCTCTGTAACATGCTTTTAAGGGGAAAAGGTATTCTATTTGTTTTTATCCAAATTTAATTGGGGATATTTTACTGTTTTATTGTTTTTACTGGAAGAAACTGAGAGTGAGGTGGCTCAGTCTGCATGTGAAGCTCTGTAACATGCTTTTAAGGGGAAAACGTATTTTATTTGTTTTTATCCAAATTTTAATTGGGGATATTTTACTGTTTTTATCCAAATTTTAATTGGGGATATTTTATTGTTTTTACTGGAACAAACTGAGAGTGAGGTGGCTCAGTCTGCATGTGAAGCTCTGTAACATGCTTTTAAGAGGAAAAAGTATTTTATTTGTTTTTATCCAAATTTTAATTGGGGATATTTTACTGTTTTTATCCAAATTTTTATTGGGGATATTTTACTGTTTTTATCCAAATTTTAATTGGGGATATTTTATTGTTTTTACTGGAACAAACTGAGAGTGAGGTGGCTCAGTCTGCATGTGAAGCTCTGTAACATGCTTTTAATTGTAAAAAGTATTTTATTTGTTTTTATCCAAATTTTAATTGGGGATATTTTACTGTTTTTATCCAAATTTTAATTGGGGATATTTTACTGTTTTTATCCAAATTTTAATTGGGGATATTTTATTGTTTTTACTGAAACAAACTGAGAGTGAGGTGGCTCAGCCTGCATGTGAAGCTCTGTAACATGCTTTTAATTGTAAAGTATTTTATTTGTTTTTATCCAAATTTTAATTGGGGATATTTTACTGTTTTTTTCCAAATTTTAATTGGGGATATTTTATTGTTTTTACTGGAACAAACTGAGAGTGAGGTGGCTCAGTCTGCATGTGAAGCTCTGTAACATGCTTTTAATTGTATATTTTATTTGTTTTTATCCAAATTTTAATTGGGGATATTTTACTGTTTTTATCCAAATTTTAATTGGGGATATTTTATAATTTTTACTGGAACAAACTGAGAGTGAGGTGGCTCAGCCTACATGTGAAGCTCTGTAACATACTTTTAAGGGGAAAAAGTATTTTATTTGTTTTTATCCAAATTTTAATTGGGGATATTTTACTGTTTTTATCCAAATTTTAATTGGGGATATTTTACTGTTTTTATCCAAATTTTAATTGGGGATATTTTATTGTTTTTACTAGAACAAACTGAGAGTGAATTGGCTCAGCCTGCATGTGAAGCTCTGTATCATGCTTTTAAGGGGAAAAAAGTATTTTATTTGTTTTTATCCAAATTTTTATTGGGGATATTTTACTGTTTTTATCCAAATTTTAATTGGGGATATTTTATTGTTTTTACTGGAACAAACTGAGAGTGAGGTGGCTCAGTCTGCATGCGAAGCTCTGTAACATGCTTTTAAGAGGAAAAAGTATTTGATTTGTTTTTATCCAAATTTTAATTGGGGATATTTTACTGTTTTTATCCAAATTTTAATTGGGGATATTTTATTGTTTTTACTAGAACAAACTGAGAGTGAGGTGGCTCAGTCTGCATGTGAAGCTCTGTAACATGCTTTTAAGGGGAAAAGGTATTCTATTTGTTTTTATCCAAATTTAATTGGGGATATTTTACTGTTTTATTGTTTTTACTGGAAGAAACTGAGAGTGAGGTGGCTCAGTCTGCATGTGAAGCTCTGTAACATGCTTTTAAGGGGAAAACGTATTTTATTTGTTTTTATCCAAATTTTAATTGGGGATATTTTACTGTTTTTATCCAAATTTTAATTGGGGATATTTTATTGTTTTTACTGGAACAAACTGAGAGTGAGGTGGCTCAGTCTGCATGTGAAGCTCTGTAACATGCGTTTAAGGGGGAAAAAGTATTTTATTTGTTTTTATCCAAAGTTTAATTTGGGATATTTTACTGTTTTTATCCAAATTTTAATTGGGGATATTTTACTGTTTTTATCCAAATTTTAATTGGGGATATTTTACTGTTTTTATCCAAATTTTAATTTGAGATATTTTACTGTTTTTATCCTAATTTATAAGTTGAGGCAGGTCATTTTATGATTATTTGGGAAATGAGGGACTTTTACATTATTTTATCCATTGTGGGGGACAAAGGGAATATTTTACTTTTAATTTATACAGTAGACCTTTTTTTTTTTATCTTTTTTTTAGTTAAATGTTGAGCCCCTAAGTCAAATCAAAGACTTAAAAACTGGTACTCCAAAAGGAAAAGATAGGTGACCTACTGTGGGCATTTGTCTTGGTGAACTAGCACCTTAAAGTCCAGCTAACCCACAGGCCGGCTGGCTAGTACAAGCAGACAGGTATTTTTAATACCATTTGGCATTTTTAAACTTTGGCATTTTTCATTTGGCTTTTTGTTTTATGTGTTTTTGAACTATTTGGATTTATACCATTTGGCAATTTTCATTTATGTTTTTTTCATTTTTTTCAACATATTTTGTAATCAACACACCAAAAGCACTTCAAAATTAAGAGTGGGATATATACTTTTTGGCCTCCATAATGTTTATCAATCAAAACAGCATTCTATTTTCAAATTTACATTACACAATTTGGCTTTCTGTAACGTTGGCTGTTAATCTTTTGTACGAATGCTATGATGACCATTATGTGTAGAAAATAAGACTACATTTCTAAAAGTGGCTCAGGTTCATATATTTATGTTTGATATCAATCAGTTCTAAATTTCCTTCACATTTCTAAAATTTAAGATCTTCCATATCTGGTACATCTTATAATATCGTATTCATCTACTAACCCAATTTTCTCATAGGGACTTAACACGAAGCAGAAGGGGTATTAGGTGGTAGGTGGTTAAGGGTGTTATAATAGGGTGAAAGGGTGAGAAAGGGAGGGAGAAAAATAGAATGATGGAGAGGGTGAGGGTATATGATTGTGAGTGGAATATAGAGAGGGAGTAAATCTGTGAGAGAATGTGATTTCATAGTAAGGGCAGGGTGTACTGGTCTGGAAGTATAGTTTCTGTTTTGTCTCATGTAGTTTCTGTTTTCTACATCAATCTGATAAGTTTAAATATTGAGAAATTGCTGTCGTCTAAAAGTTCACAGGTTAACAGCCTTTCTTGTTACTGTTTATGTGCTGCTTATATATAAACATTGTAGCACTTCTCAGTAGCTAGATAGAGTTGTGGCTTTTCATCAAATTAAGCAGCAGCTTCTGTACAGTTCATGTTGGAATGATACCAAGTGCTGTGTTTTTCTTCCCAGTTGAGAACATTTTTGATCTTCATGAACTAGTAATTACACATAGTGAAGCTTTTTATGGCCCTGCAACAAATATGGCCTCGCAACAAAGCCATATAGTTTTACCCTTGTCTGTCATTCCATCATTCCGTCAATCCATCTTTCCATCATTCTGTCATTCCGTCATTCCGCAACAAACCATTATACGGGTTTTTTTCTAAATGCCTTTAGATATTAGGCTGATTTTTGGTATGTGAGTTAACCATAATGAGTTACAGATCAAGTTTGAGTTTTGTCCTGCTCTACTATTTTTGCCAAAATTACGGGCTTTGGACTTCGATAAATTGTTGAAAATCACAGTTATACAGGTTTTTTTCTAAACGCCTTCAGATATTGGGCTGATTTCTGGTATGTGAGTTAACCATGATGTGTTACAGATCAAGTTTATGTTTAGTTCCGCTTTGCTAATTTTCCCAAAATTACAGGCTTTGAACTTTGATAAATGGTCGAAAATCACAGTTAAATGGAGTTTTTTAAAGCCTGAAGATTTTGAGCAGAATTTTGATATGTGAGACTACCATCATGTTTGTGTTCAACATGTGTTGTTGAAATTGCAGATTTTTCAACTTTTTGAGACAGGGCCATTCGTGTCGTTTTGACACATCTACCGGTAGTCTTTTTTTGCAACATGTTTTTTTATCAACACAACCAAAACACTTCAAAATTAAATATACACTTTTGACATTCATAATGATTATCAATTATTTTCAAATTTACATTAAATAATTAAATAACTTTAGTATAAGTAAATAGAAATGTATGAAATTTGAACACAAGGTTAATAACCACACAAGAAAGGTTGGGGTTTTAAGGGATTTAAGGAGGCAAAAAGGGGCCCAAAAAAACATTTTTCTAGTTTCCAGACAATAACTTGTGGAACATTGTATGGATCTCTCTGAAATTATACCACGATTTTCCATTCCTCAAAAGGATGGTTAGGGTTGGCTTTTGAGGGTTATAGCTTAAACCAATTAGGAATTAGGGGCAAAAAAGGGGGGAACAATGATTTCCTGTTTGATGGACTATTACTTATTTAAGTACATGAATGTTACGTTTGAATTACATACCTTACACTGCTTTTAAATCATGTATAACGAAATGTATTGTCTTGAGGTGATTTGCTGCCAATTTGTTTTTAGAAAAAAGTAAAATCACAAAAATGCTAAACTCTGAGAAAAATTCAAAACGGAAAGTCCCTAATCAAATGGTAAAATCAAAAGCTCAAACACATGAAATGAATGGTTAACAACTATCATATTCTGACTTGGTACAAGCACTTTCTTATGTAGAAAATGGTGGATTGAGCCTGCTTTTATAACTAGCTAAACCTCTCACTTGTATGACAGTCACATCAAATTCCATTATATTGACAACGATGTGTGAACAAATCAAACAGACATAACAGGTGAAAATGTCAAAAATACAGCCATCAAGAGAGAACTAACTGTTTTATAAAAAAGAATTTTTAAGGATGTATTTAAATGGGTAATTATGGTTGCAAATTCTTTTTGGAATTTTAAATTTTAAATTTTAGATTACAGAAATTTCAGAAATTAAAAAGACATTTTCTTTAAATATAATTTATTTTTGCCAAAAAAAAAGGGGAGGTGTCAATAAACAACAGCATAAAAGTGGATTGCACAAGAGCAAAAAAAAATGAGGGGTCAATATGCAACAGCATAGTGTATTGCACAAAAGCAAAGCTTAAGGGGTGTATTTTTTTGGGTAGGCCGGGGTCAATTCGCAACAGCATAGTGTATTGCATATAAGCCAAAAAAAATAATATAAATTGAAACATATAACCAATTCTAAGTTCCTTGACTACAGTTATTCTCTGTCAGAATCCTATTATGTGTCAAATATTTAATAACAATCCATATTCAGACCCAAGCGCAAATATTGTGTCCATTTTTGGCCCAACTGTTCATGGTAGGACCTCCGCGGTCGTATCTAGCTGCGCTCGGCGAAGCAATTTATTATCTTTGAAATGTTTTGTAGGAGTTCTGCTTCACAGAAATACAAAACAAGTGGGTCATTAGGGATGACCAATAAGTACCCATAAGTGAGACTATAAAACATAACAAGGTTGAGAAAAATAAAATTTGGTACATTTATAAACCTATAATAATGTAAGCTCTGTACAGCTTTTTATCAACGAACAAATAAAAGGCGTATACAATTCATGTAAACAATTTAAGACATGCAAATAAGATAAAATGCATATCAATGTGAAAGCATTATTAAGTGAAACAAGATGTCACAGTGCTCATGATAGCAACACTGAAAAAAGCACAGTTAAATTGAGCGCAGAGCCGGAATATAAAAGTAAAAACAAAGCAAAGGAGAAAAATATAAAGTACCGATGATAAAAGTATGTATGCAGTACCAGTGCAGATCCAGAAATTTTGATAAAGAGGGTGGTAGTGGCCAAGAGGCCGTCCCACTCCAGTCATGCTTCACTGATCCCTAAATAACTTAGTTAGTCAAACGAATTTTCCTACAAAGGGACGGGACCCCTGTCCCCCACTTAATACGCCTCTGAGTACAAGTCATATTTTATGCCCATTATAGAATGACACGATTTCCCCGCTATAAATAACATTATCTTTAGTTTAGAATAAACAGTGTTTTCATAAGGTTCAGTTACAATTCATATTACATGTAGATTTTTCTTTTAAATAATCATAACAGATATAAGTTTTAAGAATGTTCTAATTTACGAAAACAGGTTTGGTATTTGAATGTTAAATAAAACTGTTATTATAATAGTTTCCCAAAATAAAACCTTCCTCATTCAAAATATCTCTGATCATTGGCTATCGAACGGAGCAACTGGAGTACTTCTGTTTATTAAACAAAACCAACCGGAAGTTAGGTTGTTGTCGTGACTTTTCTACCACAAAAGGGCAATATTGTTGTGTGATTTTACTTTATTCACGTGCTTTAGATAGATGACAACACAAATTACTATCAAGATAGATAAACAGAAGTTAAATTTTATTTACAATTTAAGTATTCAAATATTGTATGCTTTGTCATTACATAATTCAACCGACTAGATCTACAACAACCTATACACCTTATCTCTATTCCCGGCTGACCCGAGAATCTGTCCCGCTTGAACTTTTGACGTCATACAACAATCACTTTTCCATTGTGGCGTTAGATATTTTGTACTTCTGTTTATTATTATTTGTGACGTCAAAATTTTACGGGAACCTGTGTGATGTCCAGTAATGGCGGACAAATAGCGATATTAAGGTGTATTCTCGGGAACCAGGTTCTGTAACCAACATCCTACAGACACTTGGCTGGCCAACACTAGCAACAAGCAGACAAGGAGCCAGGCTCATACTCCTATATAAGATCCCAGTATCACTATTTTGCGGGTTGAGGGCTACAGGCTGCGGGTTGTGGGTTGCGGTCAGCTCTATTTCATTAAATTACAAAGTTACATAAAAATCTAAATACTAATTTTCCTTTACAGGTTAAAAGTTAATGAAGAGCTGTGGCATGAGCGCATGATACGCCTGTCGCTTTTTCGATGAGTAAAGTTCCATAACTAATCGCACTATCATATCAGAAATTTATAAAAACTAAAGGGAGGTTATTTCAATAGATATAAACCAGTCATCAAAATTTCAAGAAAACTGCTCAAAAACATTCTTGAGTTATTGTCCGAAAACTGGAACCCTCTCCTTTTTTTAATGAATAAAACCACATCTCTCGGAAATGTAAAATCTAAAATTTATATAAATCGTAAGGGAACTTATAGATATAAACAATTCACCAAACTTTTGTGCAAATTGTTTAAAGAAAAAGGGAAAGAAATTAAAAACTATCAAATTTTGTTAAAAATAATTGAAAGAATATTAAAAGAAGATGACTTTTGTCCAGATGATGAAAATAAAAAAAAATAAAGTATTTCTGTATCACAAATTTAAAAAAAAATATACATTATTTTATTTTGATTTAAACCTTTATTTGTTTCTCCAGTTTATTAAGACATATTGACTGACCATAAAAATGAAACATTAAAATAGTAAATTTTGAACTTAAACAAATTGTATCTGACAATATATATATATATATATATCCTGGCGAGGGATAAAAAATTTGCGAAAGCAAATTTACAGATCTAACATTGTTGGGCTGATGTTTAGACGAGTTGTATATACACAGCCATGTATCACCATCACTGCTTGTGATCCGATGGATAAATCTGTTGTTGAGTTGTCACTGGTTCAGACGTACTTACTGAACTAGTATATATATTTGTTTAGGGGCCAGCTGAAGGACGCCTCCGGGTGCGGGAATTTCTCGCTGCATTGAAGACCTGTTGGTGACCTTCTGCTGTTGTCTGTTCTATAGTCGGGTTGTTGTCTCTTTGACACATTCCCCATTTCCATTCTCAATTTTATTTTTATATATATATATAATTTGTCTAAACAACACGTCACTGGTTCAGACGTACTTATTATATATATATTCCAAATACCATTTCGATTCCTAACATTACTGAAGAGACGTTAATTGTCGAAATCCGGATATGGTGTACAAATTTTTGCACCTCTTGTTTGCGGTATACCATCTTTTCCGCAAGTTTATTGTTTTCTGTTTGGTATTAAATTATAATAAAGATCCATTTTGTTACATCTTGTGATCTGTTTATTTGGCAATCGCCAATGGCAGTCAGCAGGGTTTAAGAACATCCGTTGTTCGACCTGTTAGTCAAATGCGTTTTGTTTAAATATACTTTTTCACTTTTTTGGTCTTTTGGAAAATGTTGTTTGTGCTGTATTTAGACCCCTCTACCAAGAAATTTGTTTTGCATGCACACATATAAAAATTGCGGTTTTTTATCCAACGCAAACATAGGTTTGAAAGTTGTTTTCAGTTTAGACTTATATATATATATATATATATATATATATATATATATAAACCAGTTTTTGGACAATACCTCAAGAATGTTTTGAGCAGTTTTCATGAAACTTTGGTGACTGGTTTATATTTATTGAAATAACCTCCCTTTAGTTTTCAATTTAGACTGATATATATATATAAACACTGATATATATATATATATATAATTGTAAACATATAACTATTGACTTATGCGATAACTTTTCTTTTCCTTCTTGTAAAGACACTTTGTATTCACTTGCTGTATGTTCTTCTATGGCTTCTCTTTCATTAAGTTTTGGTACTTTATAAAATTATTTCATTTTTATTTTAAGGATGAAAGGTCTTTTTGGAATAATATATAACTTTAACTTTATTGCAATATATGTATATAAAGTACTGACTCCTCTGCATCAGGCACGAGGATGACATACCAGTTATGTGCAACTTCTTACAATGTCTTACCATATTATTAATCATGTTAATGTCCTGATACACATTTTAATATGCACCCACCATGCCATATAGCACCGTCCCTTGGTGACTCCTGCAGTTAAGCTATATATATTTAGCCTTCTTACAGAATTCTTTTTTTTGTTACTTTCTAGAGGTGTGCCTGAGACAAAGGTTTTATATATACTCCTATATATATACGAATATGTGTAAACTGTTGTTTCTTATTTGTGTTTGTAACTATGTATACTGTATTGTTTATTATATTTGTAAAAATAATATTATAATGATATTATATTATGCTCCTTGTGAGCCCATTTGACATGTTTGATGGAAATAAAGCACCTTCTTATTCTTCTTCTTCTATATGCAAAGGGATGCTGAATTGCACATAACTATTACATCTCCTTTACTTTTATTTAATGAATTTGGACCAAAGGACATAAATCCTTCAATTGAAACAATCAAACATGTTATATAAAATTTTGTCAGAAGAATCTGTCACTAAAACCAATAAATCCACCCTAAAATTAGATGGTTCGATAATCACACAATAAATTTCTAACCTTGAAAATTTGGTAAATCTGGCTAATTATCTATAGGTTTCAATTAAAATCATGTTTTATCTAAAGAAAAAGAAGAAACACAAACAAATAGGAAGAAAAGTGATAATATATCCTTAATATAACAATATACAACAACACAAAGCAATGTGTTATTGCACATAAATAGTTTAAGGTCTGTATGCCAAATGTATGACAAATATGAGATGATCTAGAATCATAGTAAGATAAAATCTTAGCAATCTTTGGACACTTTTAAATTACTTGAATTATTAAAAAAATTCTGTTCAAGTATGATCATTATTTTCATTATCACACTTAATTCAGGGAAATTTTAAGAAAATTATGTAATTTCTTCCTGAGAAGTTACTTTTCGTACACTTTAAATAGTGTCATTGCTTTGTGTGATTTTTCTAAAGCACTGGCCTAGCTGGTTAACAATTTTTACTTTTTATCAATTCTATAATAAGTGATATTTTTGGTTGTGATATTCTGAGATTTATTTTCTGATATATTGGTATATTTAAATGACCAGCAATAAATCATTAAAAGTCTGTTAATAATTATACACATTCTTACACAATTTTTCGAAGTTTCACAAATAGAACCTTTTACAAGTATATAGTGTTTTGGTGATTTTTTTTTTTCTTCCCTATTTATTGTTCAACTGACTTATTAGATCGCAGCCCGCAGCCCGCAACCAGCAAAATATACACACTCATAAGATCCTGCATGGAGAAGCATCAGTCATTATCCCAGATTACATCAGGAGACCAACTGTAACAACCAGACAATACCACAGAGACAGGTTTTCCAGAGTCAGCACTTCAATGGATGGCTATAAATACAGTTTCATCCCCAGAACAAATTTTTGACTGGAAGCAATTACCTGAAAGTGCCATCCAAGCCCCCACAACAGACGCCTTCCGGGTCTGTGTGTGGCAGTTACTGGCGTAACTATTGATACCTGATTTTAACCCTGTACAGTTGTTGCAAACTCACATAATTTTATTTGATTTTGTTCCTGTAAATACACAAGTTTTTGTTTATTTTTAACTTGGCGTGTACTGGTTGACACACCCGCACAGTATATCTGTGTTATGGAAATTTCAACTGCAGATTAACGACAAAATATAGAAGAAGAAGTACAATAAACACTAGACAACAGGAATGATAGGATATATCTTCTGGGGGGTAAATGGTTAAAACTAGATATAAACAGATTAACTTACTAATGTTCTATTATATACTGGTAAAGTACTAGGGTATCAGTACTAGGGTATCAGGTTGTTCTGGCCCATAATCAATCTGGCCCCAGAACAATCTGGTTAATTACACTGTGACCAATATTTACGACGGAAGCTCGATCAAATGTCGACAGCCCATTTATGGTATTCAACAGCTCATTGGTCAGAGTTCTAGTCAAATCAGTATCTGGTCAATTCGGCACCCGGTATAGTCAAATCAGCACCTAGTCAAATTGGCACCTAGTTAAATGGCACCTGATGTAGTCTTTAGGCACACTTGATAAATATATTTAAACGCAAAATTTTTTTTTGGATTGATTTTGGGGTTGATGGTCCCAACTGTTTAGTAATTAGAGGCCCAAAAAGGCCCCAAAACAAGCATTTTTCTACTTTCAGGATAATAACTTGTGTATAAGTATTGCAATTGCTCTGAAATTGTACCATAATGTTTAATACCACAAGTAAAAGGTTTGGATTCATTTTGCGGTCTAGGGTGTCAACAGTTAAGAATTAAGGGCCCAAAAGGGGCCAAAAACAAGCATTTTTGTAGTTTCTGGACAATAACTTGTGTGTAAGTGTATAGATCTCTTTTATATTGTACCACAAAGTTCCATATCACAAAAGGAAGACTTAGATTGAGTTTGGGCGTTATTGTCCCATTCATGCAAGAATTAAGGTCCATAAAAGGGCCAAAAACAGGCATTTTTCTAGTTTCCGGACAATAACTTGTTGTAGTTTACAGTCAATAAGTTGTGTTTAAGTGTATAAATCTCTCTGAAATTATACCACAAGTTTCCATACTACAAAGGGATAGTTAATTGGGGTTATGGCTTAAATCATTTAGCAATTAGGGGCCAAAAAAAGGGGGAAAACAAGTGTTTTTCTGGTTAAAGGACAATTTAGACAATTTAAAAGCTATGTGTTAGGGAGGTAATCCAATTCAAATTTAAAGAATACTGTTATATATATGTTTGATTACCTCCCTTACACTGTTTGAAAATTATGTATTAAGAAATGATGATTGTTTTGAGATGATAAGCTGTAATTTTTTTTTTAGAAGTAATACTATTCAATTTTTCTCATTTCAGATTTCTTTAAATATTTTTATTTGAGGGAATTAATATTCAACAGCATAGTGTATTACTCAAAAGCAAATAAATTTTTTAAGTTCATTAGACTACCAGAAACCTATGCTGTGTCAACTATTTAATCACAATCCAAATTCAGAGCTGTATCAAGCTTGAATGTTGTGTCCATACTTGTCCCAACTGTTCAGGGTTCGACCTCTGCAGTCGTATAAAGCTGCACCCTTCGGAGCATCTGGTTACTTTATGTTTACATTAATATTTGAAGATTTGAACAAATCAACGGGGAAACCAGGCATTATCTTGCATAATATGAAAAAGAAGATGTGGTACGATTGCCAATGAGACAACGAGCCAAAAGAGACCAAATGACACAGAAATTAACAGCTACGGGTCACCTTACGACCTTGAACAATGAGCAAAGCCCATACATATAAGTTCTTTCAGTAATTTAACATGGCCTAAATACCTGTGCTTACCATGATAAAAAGTTGAGTAATGGAGATAAAGGGTATAATATATCAATGAGACAGCAACTTAATGACACAAAAAGTAAGAAGACATTTAAATATCAACACCAAAGCATCAAAGTTCATTTGGATTGTATCTAAAAACCACAGGGTTAAGATTTTAAATACCTGGTTAAACTGTTGTATAACATTTCAAATACTGTTAATACAGAAATTATTGTATGGTTTTTATATTGTGAATGACATGTTTTTTTTTACTGACCCTGGTTATCCATGAGGGTCTTGCATGGTCGTATATGTGAATAATGTATCTGGGTGGGTATCACCAGGTGTATATGTATACACAATATATTGTGAGATGAAGCATAGCCAGACAACTGCAAGGGGCATAGCTAGGTATCCAATAAACTGTAGGCACAAATTGCGGCAGGGGTTCTGGGGCCGCATAAGGCCCCCAGCAGGTCCAGGGCAGAGCCCTGGTAAGGGGTTCTAGGGGCGTAGCCCCCCGACGGAAAACGGTTTTCAGCATTTAAGTTGCAAAATTTTGTGTACAAAAAAACATAAAAAAACATCATTTTATCATGATAATATACATGAAAAAAATGTCAAAAAAAATAAACATAATTCTACAATTACATCTGACTGATGAATTAACCGGCAGTACAATGGGAAATATAAAAATAAACAATATTTCCAATATGCATTGCCCAGCATGGATCAGCGTAGCCCTTTATTAAGCAGCACAACCTGTTTCTGATTGAGTATAATTGATATATATGTAAATTGATAAAATTGAGAATGATAGAACATATTGACGATCCTTCATTAAAAAAAAAAAAAAAATAGGCACGAAAACACTGAGACTACTACATAATAAAACTAACTTTTGGAATACGACGCATCGACCATTCATATTTTGATTCTTAAACCTTCACTCTCCCCCGGCCACACAAACACATACACACACACAGTCAATACGTCATGCAGAAGTTCTGTTCTGTTCATACTACCAGTGTCTAACATAATTCAAGAAATTCATATTTTCTTATATCCTGTACTGTAAAATCCCTACCTGTTTAGGAATTTGAATAATTATCGTCATTACATGTAGATCTGAGAGTACTCGAAGTTACTGAAAGCTAGTTGATTGATTGATTGATTGATTGATTGATAGACGTTCAGTGGCAAATAATTCATGCATGTTCAGGACTAAAACAGATAGGGGTCGTCCAGGATGAAGGTCTGGAAATTTGGAAATGCCATGCATTGGAAAATGAGGGTTTATTAAATAGGAACAGAAATTTGCCTTTCAGTAGACGACCTACTTACCCCTCAAAGAGTTGTTTCAAGTGTCTTAACGTGCAGAGAGAGTGGCATTCTCTCTTCACTAGGCATCAGATTGAACTTGGGCCAACAACAACTAATTAAAAAAAATCATTTATCTAAGTTGAGGTTCATTCAAGTATTTGTTGATTGAAGTGAATGATCTGAACCAAAGTTCTAGTTTATAGTTTCTATATTAGGTGGAATATAATGACATACAGTTCCAATACGCCACTGTTTCAATAAGGATGATAGACTAGAGTACGCATGACATTCGATAATTAAAGAGTTTTGACAAATTCACATGCATCTACAGATAACATTGTTTATTACTTTTTTTGATAAAAAAATTATTTGTGAAAAAATTATGTGTAGGCTCATGCCTACAGTGCCTAACGGCAGCTACGCCCCTGACTGCAGTTTATTACGTTTATTATATGCATTAAATTATAATTACTTTTTCATGTGATAGAAAAACTTTATAAAGTCATAAAGTAAAGATTATGTGAAATTATCTAATTGTTTTTTTCAGGAAAGTAACTAAAGTTAACTTTAAGTGCAGTATATCTGTGGACTTTTTTTGTTCTGATAGTAATATTTTCTTTCTCTTTCACAATAGATGGATGGTAACTGAATCAATACAAATAGCCTCATTGAATTTGAAAAAAGCTGCAAATGATATCAGTAACAAAAGATTGTTAGTGTGCAGTGTGCAGTGTGCAGACAGTGGTTAAACAGAAGTTAACATTCTATTAGTTTTGGGATTTTACAATCAATGCCAAAATGAATGATTATGCTAGAGGAAATAATAGGAGAAAAAGGGACCTGTGTGGTAAAAACTTCCTAAAAGTCGTCCTTTATGTGTTCAACTTTTTCTTTTGGGTAAGTGTATTATATATATGTTTATAGTTTTAGAAAAGGCAACTTAAAAAGATATTACAATTTAAATGATTTATTTATTATTGGTTGCTTATAATCATCCATTGGCAAATATTATATATGCATATTCAGAACTAACTATATAAAGTATAGAATTTGTAAATGTATAATATAAGACATAAGAGAAGATATAGATACATGTTAATTGAATAATCTCCCTTTGTTCTTTGTTCAAATTAAATGAAATTCTTCATTCATTGTTTACTGTATTCTGTTGCTAGTAAGATTTTATAACCATGCTAACAGGACAAAAGATCCTAATATAAAATTATTTCTAATTTTTCAGCTAACATTGCTAACTTCAAATTACAAAAATATTCCGTTTCCTAACTTTTCTTTATCATGTTCTGTCAATTAATTAAATGTTCTTTAAAATTCAGTAGTGTTTTTATGCATGATAAATTCTATATTTCTTTTCCAGCTGACAGCCCGGTTAGCTTTCCTAGCATTAGGGTTATATATCAAGTTCCAGAAGCATACCTATATCAATCTGCTAGGGAACAGTACTTTCCCTTTGGCAACATACTTGCTACTAGGAACAGGAGCCTTTATTATCTTGTCAGGAATCATTAGTTGTACTGGGACATGTATAGAAAAGAGATGTTTTATGGTTATGGTGAGTTATTTCCCTTTGAACACATTGTCTACTAAGAATGTATACCAAAATTAAGTTTTTTTAACTTTTCACAAGCAAAGCCAACAATAAATTGAAAAAAAATCATTTCAGCTAATTCCAATTACATGTTATTTTACTTATGATTGTAATGGATATTATGTTGTATGGTCTGTTCGTCTGTCAGTCCAAATAGATTTTTAGGTTGTTTACATTGACGTTGTGGTCTTATCAACATGAAAATAAGGCCACATGATGTGAATTTACTATGGTATTAGGCCTATTCCACGGTTCACTTAACATTGAAATTATTACATTCTCAAGTTTAAAGTCATATGAAACGAGTGACTAATGAAAAATAATGTTTATCCAATTCTTGAACCAATGCATGTTTATATCATAAACTTAGTCTTCTGTGCACGATTTTATCATTTTTTACGCAAAGATATCGTTTTTAGATTGTCAATTTTTTTTCTCTCTGTCTGTTATGATCTAACAAATATGGTAGCTCATTAATTGCCGTGTTTTGAAGCTGAAGTTTACCGATTGTTACTTAATAGTAAACTATCAACAAAAAAGGATGCAATCTATTGGCGATTTTATCATAAACATGCTGCTAATAAATGCCTCTTTAATAAGCTAGGTGCATTTTTCTATATTTTTTTTATCTTAGGAAATTACTATTGAAACATTGTTTATCTGTTATCTTGAAATTATTGTTTGAAAAGGATGTTTTTTTATAGAGATGACTTAAGCCAATCAGAAAGTCAGACTAGAGGTCACATGTCTGGCATTTCATTCACCTGTCTCATATTCTAAAATGTTATGGATAATTAAAACATTGTTGTGATGTCATTCTATTGTTTTACCCGTTCTTTATTTCAGTGATTGGACTATCATTAACCTGTAAGAAACCATAATGTTACCTTTAGCTGTCCAGTATTTTTAAGAATAGACCTCCTCTTTCTTAAAAATATTGGACAGCTAAAGGTAGCATTACTGATTCTTACAGGTAAATGATAGTTCAATCACTGAAATAAAAAAAAAACTATTAATTACCCCAATTGTTTTCATCATGTAAACAAAAATAAAACCAAAGATCAAATGACAATAGAAAAACATTTTATTAAAGTCACCTTCCAATACAATAATTTTGTCACTCATCAAAACGGTTCCTTGAGGAAAAAATCACTTTCAAATTGATGTTTGTCTCACTTGACGGAGTCAAAAAGCGAGACATAGGTATGCTGTTTCCGGCGTCGGCGTCGATGGCGGCGTCAACAATGTATTAGTTTGTGATTATGTCTAGTTTATGGTGAACCACTAGTGGTAAGTCAAAGATATTTGGTATGCAGTTGTATTGGTATTGGCACATCTCATTACCATAGAGATTATTTGGCCTCACCCTCTCAGTCATGGTGTATTGACTTTGAAACTTTGCTTAGTTTTCATGTATTAGTTTGTGATTAGGTCATTTTATGGGGAACCACTAGTGGTAAGTTAATGATTATTGGTATGCAGTTGTATAAGCATTGGCATATCTCATTTCCATGGATATTATTTGGCCCCGCCCCCTCTGTCATGGTCTAATAACTTTGAAATTTTTCTTAGTTTTCATGTATTAGTTTGTGATTAGGTCAGTTTATGGGGAACCACTAGTGATAAATAAATGATAATTGGTATGCAGTTGTATAAGCATTGGCATATCTCATTTCCATGGAAATTATTTGGCCCCGCCCCCTCAGTCATGGTCTATTGACTTTGAAACTTTTGCTTAGTTTTAGTGTACATCTCATTTCCATGGAAATTGTTTAGCCATGTACCTTCAGTCATGGTTCATTGACTTTGAGTATTTGCAAAACGTACATGTTAAATAAAGTGTTGCTATTTTAATTTCAACATTTGCATTATCGAAATTACAAAAAAGCGAGACATATCTCTGTGATAACAGTTTATTAACACTACCAATACTTATATCACAGCCATTTTTCTCATGTTTTTGGGTTGTCTCTTTTAGCACTAATTCAATAAGTTGATTATGCTCGTTGTAAGTCTTGTTTTTATTGCTTTTATGAATTTCTTTTTCCAAAAGATTTATCCGCGTCCATCTTTAGGTTATCAAAATTGACCTCTGGTAATGCTCTTCCTAACATCATTTTCAACTGCAACTAAAATGAAAAAAGCAATAAAGTCATACTTCTAAAATTTGATAGATCATGCCGCAATACAAGAGTCATGAACAACCGAAACCTTATCCTGTGTACAAAGTGCGAATTAGATCTTCCTTCATGAACCAGGGGACTATGAAGGTTTTTATAATTTTCAGGTTTCAACGTGTAAAACAATCTAAGATATAAGCCTCTATCAGTCCATTCTGTAAAATATTTTACAGAATGGATTGTTATTGGCTTATATCCCTTAGAGAGAAAAATATCATGTGACATCAAACATTATCCATTGATTTATGGCAAACCTTATATATAAATATCTAAATATTATAAAATATATCTAAATAAAGGCAACAGTAGTATACCGCTGTTCCAAACTCATAAATCGATAGAGATAAAAACAAATCCGGGTTACAAACTAAAACTGAGGGAAACGCATCAAATATAAGAGGAGAACAACGACACGACAAAAACACAACATTAAAATGTAACACACACAGAAACGAACTATAATATAACAATGGCCATTTTCCTGACTTGGTACAGGACATTTAAAGAAAAAAATGGTGGGTTGAACCTGGTTTTGTGGCATGCCAAACCTCCCGCTTTTATGGCAACGTCAAACACAACACCAAAACGACAACATCACATGACAGGACCACAAAACAAATAAATGGGAGAACATATAGGACAAAGAAACACACAAATAATAGCTAACAAAAGGTACTAGGCTTAAAATTCAATACGCCAGACGTGCCTCTCATCCACACAAGACCAACCAGTGACGCTCAGATGAAAAAAGTTTGAAAGCCAAAATAAGTACAAAGCCAGAAATTATGGAATCATTGTTCAAAAGAACCTTTATGGTAGTAGTAGAATCTTTTTTTAAATATATTTCAATATAATTTATGTACATACAGGTTGGAAGAGACTGATGAACTATACATATCTGGGATACAGAATCAATTATGAAACATCGTCAGTACTGAAAGGTCAACATCAAAGAGGGGTCAGTGTGCTGTAGACTTCTCAGGTATTTATTGTTTGTTCATTTCCAATCTTAATACAAAAAAATTATGCAGATTGAAACATGACAGGATATTTTTGGTGGTTAACCTTGTAATGCTTTTGACTGGAACAAAAGAATGGATGTCAGGAAAATCAGGAAAATAAGATTATAAGTACAGCTAGTATGGGAATAAAACCTGGAATTTTATCACCAGATCTGGTTGGACTTGGATATTTGTTGATTTGTTACTGCCTGAAAATTATCTACTACAGTGATACTTAATTTATTGCCACCTTTTGGAACATGTAAAATACTATCGACAAGTCAGGATGGCAGTATATCAAAGTAGAAATTTATATAAAAACTGCACACATTTGAGAAAAGTTGACTCTAGGATTATTCTTAAATATTATGGGTGCAATAATTGACATTTGAAACATTTTAAGAAAATCAATACCTGCATTTGCAGAGATTTTAGTGTTTGTTACAGTAAGATTTAAAGCATAAATGTCTTAACTGTTTTATGAAAATTAATTTAAATGACAAGTTTGGTTTTATTTATTTTAGGTGATGGTAAAGTTTCGCATCATTTGGTTTGGATGACAACCATCTTATTTTAGTTTGAGACTGGAGAAAGGGAGAGAAATTAACATCTACCAGGTAATATTTGTATAAGTTTATATAGAATCATTTTCATAACAGCTTGGACAAGACCAGTTCTTGGGGCACTCAGGTTATGAATTGACTGGGCCAGATTAGGTAAACTTTCATGTATTACATTACATTCTCTCTTGACTTTACATAGCTTTATCTTTGACAAGTTTAAGTTCTCAAAAACTATTAAAAAATAATTAAAATTTCCTGGACAACTCATGGGTATTCTAAAACTTCACCTAAATTGCACATAAACGCTGTGGACCATCAGTGAACTTGCATTTAAAATAGTTCAGGCATACTGTATTATACAAATCCTTGGTTCAGGGATAATTTCTAAATTCTACTGAACAGATGGAAAAAAGGGGGAGAAGATGCAACTTCAAGGTTAGATTTTTGTCAAAATGAAGATAGTCGGCTACAGAAAACAGCAAAAAGACGACAGAATACTTACTCATAGTCCAGTTATGTCGTATGATTCTGCTTGTATGCTGAAATCCCTAGGTAATACAAAAACAATCCGTCCATTCAAATATGTGGGTTTCAAGCTTCCTATCGAATCGATTTTCCAAATAAAGAAAATAAGCGAAGCCTCCGTTGCGAGATCGACAAGAAGGATTTTCATACAATACAAGTTATGAAATATAATGTGACATATGGTTTTTAATTACAACAAATTATCATTATTTATCTTATTCTGCATAGTTTATCAATAAAAAGAACAAAATACGAGAACGATTGACGACCAGAGAAATGAAGTGGACAGCCAAGGCCGTAACTACCATTGAGGCAAGTGAGGCAATTGCCTCACTATTAATTTCGACACTAAATTTTTTTTGTGTATTTGTTTATGGTAATTAAATACGAAATATAGTCATTTGTTTTTTCTGTCTCAACCCTAATTTCTATAATTCGACATCGTTGATCGTTCCTTTTAAATTATTCATCCCGGGTATAAATCAGCATCTCACTCGGTGATGTTTCTCGATTACATTAACCTAGTAACCGGTAATCATCATGGATCTCTGGTCAAAAGGAGGTTGGGGCCTCGGTGGCCGAGTGGTCTAAGTAGTTACTACTGTAATCACTAGCAAGTCAACACTGAGATTGTGATTCGAACCCCGCTCCTGCGGGTGCACTCGATTCCAATCTTAATTGACTAGGATTGTCAGTTTTCCTATCGAAGGTCGGTGGTTTTCTCCGGGCGCTCCGGCTTCCTCCACCAATAAAAACTGGCCCCCACAAAATAGCCCAAAAGCCGTGCTTAAAAGTCCTGTTTGCGGAGTATTTCGCCATTTTCCCCAACTTGATTCGTTCTCTTTACAGATAAACAAAATATAAATAATATGAAACATGCATGGATTAGTTTTTATCCATGTTTCTTTTACCTTAAATTTTAAAGAACATCCGGTAATCCAATTTTGACATTATTGAGGGACGGTAGGACCTTTAAAACGGGGTTTCATGTTTTATAATTCGGGACTACCGGATTTCGTGTCTTTTAATTCAGGATTGCGGGATCGGACCCCCTCCTACCCCTCATTATTCAATTGTCGATCTAAAATATCCTGCCACTAATAATTTCCAGAAATAATCTGAAAAAAAAACATCAATATTCCCATAATAACATAAAACGATATACATGTAGTTATATCCAATTTCCCGTATTCATTATATTAAAAGGTAGCATGTGGCAAAAAGAAAAACTCCGGACAGTTTGTCTCAACGATGTCGAGCTCTCTGGAAATGCCAAGAATGCAGGATTTTACACCATTTATTCCAGACCCCCTGCCGAAATTTTTCGCCTCGCTTCGCTTGCCTCTATTTTTTGGCATAACTTAACTCACCAATCAGTACTGACTCACTAAAATAATATGCCTAGTCGGTCTTGACAGTGTTATCACTATGGAGATGCAACGTTGCTCATTAATATTCATAAGCATCACAAGAGTTATTTGACCCTGAAAAAATTGCCTTAACATACCTGCGTTATTTTGTAAATCACAGATAAATTACTGAACTTATATCCTTTCACTTCAAGATCTTTTAACAATGGCATAAAATGAATAAAAAGAATAGATACCAATAATATTGCCTATACCTAGCTTTCTATACATTATTGAGATAACAGTATTTTTTTTTTCAAGATAAAAGAAGTCATGTATACAGACAACATTTTGTAAAGAAGTCATTGTCACAGGCCCAGGAATGTAGAAAAGGCTTTTATAATTACAAAGAAGGATTCTCAGATTCTTGGGTGAGTTATTCTCTAATAATAAATTTTTTGGATAAAATAATAATAAAAACTTTGGAGATACAAACATTTATTTTAGTACAGATACCTTAACAATGGAGGCAAAAGGAAATCGAAAAGGTTAATTTAAAAATTTATAAAAAAATTATTTTCTAAGACAACTCCTTTATCGTGAGAAACATACTGTAACTAGATAGTTAGAAATGTATCAATGAAATTGAGAATGGAAATGGGGAATGTGTCAAAGAGACAACAACCGACCAACGAGCAGATAACAGCCAAAGGCCATCAATGGGTCTTCAATGCAGCGAGAAAATCAGGCACTCAGAGGCATGCTTCTGCTAGCCCCTAAACAAAATGTATACTAGTTCAGTGATAATGGACATCATACTAAACTCCAAATTATATAAAAGAAACTAAAATTAACAATCATACAAGACTAACAAAGGCCAGATGCTCCTGACTGTGGGGAGGCCCAAAAATGTGGTGGTGTTAAACATGTTTTTTGAAATCTCAACCCCCACCTCCTATACCTCTAGCCAATGTAGAAAAACAAACACACAACAATATGCACAGTAAAACTCAGTTTGGTAGAAGTCTGAGTCCGATGATATGTCAGAATAGGTAACAAAAAAACTATGATACATAGGACAACTAGCAGTTTCTGACATGCCAGCCATGTCACACTTCATTTCAACATACATTAGTTTAGTTTAAACATATTTATTTATAGTGGTTTGGGAAACAAGTTTTGCAACTTATATTAATCCCTTTCCACTTTGCGGGTGCGAGTGCTGCCTTGTAGCGGCATTAGCCTGCTCTTTTTCGAAATCTACAAGGGTGTCTTTAACGTGCAAGAGATATGGCTCTCTCTTAACACGGGTCAGCCATTTTTCGTCCCCATCCGACGGACTATCACCGTTTCCTCAAGACCATACTCGCAAATGGTGTCAAGGGAGAGCCGAAAATTCAGTCCCTGAAATTTTCATCCTGGAACGGGAATCGAACCAGGAACCTTTGTGTTAGTAGTCCGATGCACTAACCACTACACCACGGCTCTCTTTACACCATACATTACAATTTCTTTTGCAAAAATGTGTATAACATAACATAAGAATGCTAAACTTTCCTGAAAAAAGGGGTGAGAACTTGAAAAAAACCTTTGTTGAACTAGTAAATAGTGACCTAAATGTAAATATTGAGCTGTGATGTGCTAGCCATCCACAGAATACCTGGAAAAGACGGTTACCAGAAGTCTGTTATTGTGAAGGTTAGAAACACTGACACTAAAATACGGATAATGCGACAAAAAAGATCCTTGAAATTTGAACTTATATTTCATGATGATATAATACAACGCAATATTGGACTTACGGCAAGACTTAAAAACACTGAAAAATTTGAAGATGTATGGTTTTACAACTGTAATGTGCTTGCCAAAACTGAAACTAGTAGTAGAATAAGATTTGACCTGTTTGACAATGTAGATGACAAAATGAAAAAGAAATTGAAAAAGGGAACTTTATCAATCTTGTATAGTCAGTTACATCATTTAATTTAATTTTCAAATCATTCCAGCTTTTTATTAATTTCAATAGATTGATATAAATGTAAAAGATAACTGCTGAAGTAAAAAGTGTTTTATATCAGTTGTGAATACATATTCCTATATAAATAGTAAAGAATATAAGAGATATTCATCTAGATAAATTAGTTTAAAATAAATTATACCCCCTGTCACTATACAGTAAAGGGGAAATAACTCTAACATTTATAATGATATAAATATTCAATTTTATCTTTTAAACATCTATTCCTTTGATAGTTTTAAGTATAATTGTTACATGCCATACTGTAAATTAATTAATACATTCAATGTTGAATGAAGAAAATAATATGTGACATCTTATGTTTGTATGTGTGTATGTTTGTGTATGTCAAATTTGTAACAATTGTATATTTGTACTTATGAACTTATACTTTAATATTATATTGGTTTATAAAACATCACTTTGAACATCTATAATCATGGATAATAATGTAGCGATATTATCAGTGAATGTGAGGGGTCTTTTCTCAAATTCCAAAAAGAGGGCAGATGTATTTGATTGGGCTAAAAGTAAAAATACTTCAATAGTGTGTTTCCAGGAAACTCATAGTAATAAAGACATTGAAAAAAACTGGGAGGATGAATGCGGAAGCACATGTTTTTTTCAGTCATACAGACAGTAAAAGTGCAGGTGTCTCTGTTATGTTTAAAAAGGGTCTGGATTTTGTTGTGCATAATTCTGTTACTGATGACAATGGTCTTAGATTGTTTTAGATTTAACAATTTTTTCACAAAAATTGAGTTTTGCCTGTTTGTATGGTTATAATACTGATGAACCTTCATTCTTTGATATAATAATGCAGAACATTTTATCCTTTAAAAACACAAGTGTTTTATTATGTGGTGACTGGAATGTTGTTTTAGATAAATTTATGGATACAAATAATATCAAACATAATATCCGTAAAAAAAATTGATGAAATTATTGATATTATTTAAGCAATAAACTAATTTTTGAGATGTTTCAGGCATTGGCCTTCTTCGGTTCTTTATTTTTCTCCACAACTACATGGCAGACATTTTTTCTTTTTCAATCATTAAGATGTTATAGATATAATTCCTTGGAACTGTCATGACGTCACAATACTTTAACGTCACAATAACATGACGTCATAATACTATTTTATGAATGAAAGTTAAATTATATAAGCTTTGATGAATTAAAGTCATTCCTTTTTAACTTTGATTCCAAATGGTCTAATTGTATTTAGTTTTAGCATCCATTGTGCCTCAATATATCTTCTGTAATTTGCGGATTTATCGTAAATTTGTTGCAGAACTTGAACTGTGATGTCCTCTTTACAATGATCCTCTTGGTTAAAATGTTCCGCCATAGCTGTATCTCTATCATGTCTGATATCTGCAAGATGCTCTTTTATTCTTTCGTTGAGTGATCTTTCTGTTTCCCCAACATAGACGTAGTGGTTACATTTTCCACAGTGAAGTCCATAAATAAGGTTCACTAGTTGACATCCATGAATGTTCTTTTTGAGGTTGAATGTTTTATCTCCGAGTATAATTTTTTCTTCATTTCTTTCAATATTGCAAACTTCACATTCTTCTTTACATGTTTTGTTGCTGCTGTTGTTAGTACTTTTTTTGATGATTTTATTTAGTTTTCCATGTACGATTATGAGGGGCCTGATGGGTTATTTTAGTTCTTCGTGATCGGCGCATTTTCGCTATCGTGATCCACTTTTCTACAGATTTTTTTTTTTTTATATTTTCGTGATCCGTGATCATGGAAATTTTTCTGTGAATCGTGATTGACAAAAAAATCAACTCGTGAATCGTGATGAGACCCCCCCATCAGGCCCCTCGATTATGTCTGCTAAGTTTCTATCTTTTCGATAAGCTACACGTGGTGGTTCTGGAAATATTTCTTTCATCAAGTTACAGTTATGTAAAATATCAACTCTGTTTTTCACAATGTCATGAATATCTGGTAGTAAATCGGTAAAAGTTACAACTAGAGGTATGCGTTCTGATGTTTTTTTAATTTAATTTTTTCTTTGTAATAACTCTTTTCTATTTATTGATGTTTTTGAACTACTTGATCCTTGGCGTGCATGCCATCCAGAAGATAGGAAATATACTAGGCGTCAGTCCTCACCTATAAAACAAAGTCGATTAGATTATTTTTTAATTTCAGAAGACCTTTTTCCCTTATGAAAAATACTAGAATTATACCAGGTTATAGAACTGACCACTCAGCAATTATTTTCACCTTCTCAGCTTGTTTAGAGAAACGGGGCAAAAGTTACTGAAAATTTGATTCTCAGTTACTCAGAGATGCAGATTATATACAAAAGGTTAAATTATGCATTAAGGATACTATTTTGGAATAATATCTGTCAGGTGATATGGAAGATCTTCTTTCTGTTGATTTGTCATGTAATGATCAAACATTTTTTGAAATATTGAAAATGAAGATTAGATCTTTGTCCATAAATTACAGCATAAATAAATCTAAAGAGGAAAAAAATTTCACCCTGAAACTTGAAAATGATATTTTACATTTAGAAACTATTATGAACCATTCTCCAAATGAGGAGGTTCAAAAATCTTTACTTCATAAAAAATTTGAACTAGAAAATTGTCAACAAAAGAAGATTGAAGGTTTGCTGCTTAGATCCCGCTCTAACTGGCATGAGAATGGTGAAAAATGTTCAAATTATTTTTGTAAATTAGAAAAGAAAAATTTTATAAAGAAAACAATAACAGAACTTATAGATGACAAAGGTCAACATATATCAGAGCAATCAAAAATTCTAATGCCGGCGTCACATATTGGCATATAGACCGGCGTGCACCAAACGTACAGAAAAAATTGACAAAGTTGGTATACGTTAGTTGCACGCCAGAGGAACGTTAAGCAATTGTTAAACGCGCGTTACATAAGTTTGAAGTACGTTGAAATGCAAAGGTATACGCTTGGTAAACGCTACAACTGGAGGAAATTTTTATGCAGCATAAAAATTTTCATCCAGCTCAAGCGGGTGTCTAGCGTATACCTGTACCCTACACACATGTAATACATACACTACAAGTGCTTTGAAAACGCTACAGATAAGTTTGAGACACGTTAAGGTCACGTTGTATACGCTTCAAGATCGTTCGACTTTAACTAAAACGTATGCGGGTGTTTTTGTAACAAACACCCTATAATAGAACGTCCAAGATACGACCGGGACGCGTCTTTAATACGTTCAAGAGACTTTTTTCCTTCGTAGCGTGCATTCCATCTACATTAGACAAATGCCAGGCATAGGCCAACATACGTTACTTGAACGCCCAATACACACTTAAAGCTCGTTGTGCACACGATACAGATATGTTTGACAGGTTGAATGCATCCAAAATTACTAGCGTTTTGGCAGCATACACGATTTTTTAC